TGACCCGGGCAATCATGAATTCCGATGGCGGAAAAGTAGGGGAAACTCGGTGAAGCATTCACATGGGTAATGAAAGAGAGAATGCATGCATTGCTTTGCTTTGGAGATATGGTGGATTGACTAATTGTTTGGCTTCTTTCGTTTTCTTCTCCTCCCCTTTCCTTTCTCTTCAAGTTCACTGTTTAGGTTATTATTGTAAGGTTTGAGATCCCGCAATTCAATAAATCTCATTAGCTAGCTACCAATGATAGTATAGAGGTTTAATTGGTAATTACCCTAGTTAATAGCTTAGTTTGGCCCTGCTGTAGATTTTGCTGAAGCAGCTTCTGTCTGAAGTTTTTAGATAAGTACTTTTAAAAAAAATCAGTTGAGTGTTTGACTGTAAAACTATTAGAAGTGCTTTTTAATATAAGAGGTTGTGTAAAATGACTATAAAGGACTTATAATATAAAATATGAATAAAAATTCTAAACAATAAAAAGTAGCCAAAATGGATCTTGTTAGATTTATTTTATATTAAATAATATAATTTTATAATTTATTTTATTTTTAAAATGATGTAAATGATACAAAATTATATTTTCTGAAATAAAATTAAAATATGGTAATTATAATCTTGTAATTTCAAAACAGCTTTTGGTTATACAAAAGCACTTTTTGGCTTTTCAAAAGCCGAGCTTTTAGAGGTGTTTGGCCCTGCTTCAGCTTTTGAACTCGAAAAAGACTTCTAAAAGCCAGGCCAAACATCGGGAATGTTGTGTTTAATATGCATTTATAAGAGTCGAGATCCAACATATTTTCTCGTTGTGAAGAATAAATCACTTCTAATTAGAGATAATTATCTCCAGTAATAAAAACACGTTCTCGTGAGATAATTATCATGTTATCTCATAAATATTCCTTTTTATTTTTGTATATGGTAAGGATACTGGAAAATTGATTCAGAATTTCTCGAAAAAGTATTAAACTCAAATCGACCGACCCTGTCGTTGGCTCGTACTCCCTCTGTCACAAGAGTGAGCCATCTCAAAGGACATGCCCTTAAGAGAGAAACACCTATCTAAATACACTAAATACACCTTTTACAAATGTTCTCCCACCAATATAATGTTTTTTCTTTAGACGTATGAAGCTATTTAGGAGCAATTTTGGTGCATAACTGACTCACTCCGAATATCACAATTAATTTCCGCCTAAGATCCAACTATAAACCTTAGTCGGGTGCAATAAAGACAAATATGTTTAAATATCGACTCGGGCCAGCCCGTGTACTCCTACTTCAGTCATTTGAATCATTATCTAGCGAATCAATTTTGGTTGAAAAGTTTGTTAATTAAAGTAAAGCAAGACAAAAGTAAATGGTTTTGAAAGCTCTTTGTGAGAAGGATCACTCGGGTGTCGCTTCCCCCTAACTACTACCATGGTATGTGAATCGAAGTGATTGCTATGGGCAAGGTGATCGCGAACCGCGAGGGGACGCAAATATGGTCGTAGACCACACTCTCTATTGCCAAACCGAGGGATACATTATAGGCTATTCAAGTGGCCCTCTCGGTTAAGGCAATCGGTGATTGACTTACTCCCTCACTCAACCCAATGGTTGGTCGGCTTAATCGCGCTTAACCAAATTGCTTAATTCAACATAGAGGTTTTCCCTAGGAGCCCTAGGATTCCCAACTCAATTGAGCCTCCCTTGAAAGATAGGTGGCTTAAGGAGCCCTAGGATTCCCAACTCAATTGAGCCTCCCTTGAAAAGGGGGAGGGGGGGGGGTTTCCCCTCTAATCTAGGTTAGAATGGCCAATTAGATTGCTAAGTACAAACATGCACAATCAACATGAAAAATACTTCAATCATTGAATTAAACAACTCCCATAAACAATCATTCAATTCACATAACAACTACATTGCAAATAGTTAGGTTTCACAACACCCAAGTGAAAAAGGAAACTACTCCATGCTAGAAAGGGGAGAAACACAAGAGGAAGAAGTAGAAACCATCATGGTGATACTTCCAATCTCATTTGAGCTTGTGCTGAACTTCTCTTGGGGAGAATCTTCCCAATTCACCACTTGGAGCAAACCCTAGCCTTCTTTCTTCTTTGGTTCATTCTTTCTCTCTCTAAAATGTGAAGAAGACACTTTCTCACTCTTGGGCTCCCTCTTTCTCTTCCTTTCAGCTCTCCTTTTAAACAGGGATTGGGCTCAGTTCACGGCCTCAGCTCATGGCCGTGAACTCTTGAACGCGTCCGTGAACTCAAGGTTAGCATCAAAATGCACCTCTTCGCTTGCACAGGTTCACGGGCAACAACTCCAGTTCACGGTCTTAGTGACCGTAAACTCGCATAGCGTCCGTAACTTCAGATTTGGCCCTGGACGCCTTGATGTTCACGGGCAACAACTCCTCTTCACGGTTTATCTGACTGTGAACTTCCAAAAGAAACCTTGAAAATGCCGGTTTTTCACCTCTTCTCCCAGTTTTCGCTTCTTTTCGTCCAACTTTCGACTCTGGGGCAGATTTCACTTGTTAAATCGTGAAACATGCTAAAACGCAAGAAATCTCAGGTAAAACCACAGTTTTAGGAGCACAATTGCCACAAACGCCTAAAGAAAATGGGGGTAAAATATGTACAATTAGGCCCGAATCAATAACCTTGAGGTGCAAAACCATGCATAATCTGTCACATCACCGTCACATTATCCTTTATGTGAGACCTTAATCTTTTCTCCTCAAAATTTTAAGGGATATATCTCTTTCATTTTAAGTCGAAATTTAATTTAATTTTTTTGCACAGATAAATCAGTTAAAATTGTACACTACAAAATGATATTCACTTTGATATATTTTTGTAATAATTTTTTTTGAGGCATTTAGTACCCGTCTATACCATGGTGGTATTGTTTGATATTTACATAAGAGCATACAATGTGGTATGGAAATGTATCATGATGGTATGAACATACTGGACTGTATAATGGTTGAATACATGATAGTAGGAATATAATATACTTTCATTTACAGCTTTCAACATTGTATACCATAAGATACCACCTCTCTATATTAGGGGTGATATAAGGCAGTATTTTTTGTTCTTGTATTTTTTCATATAAATATGTAGTTCGAATAGATCATGATGAACTCGTTTCTTCGGTGCAAATTTTTTCAAAATCGACTTAAAAACAAAGGAGATATCATATGGTATGAAGCTGGTAACGAGTGCTATGAGTGAAATAAAAAAGTTATCCAAACTTATTGAAAGATAAGAAGGATCCAAGATAGAACAAAAAATATAAGAACCAATTGAAAAAATTAGAAAAAATAAAAAAAATTTAATTGTCAACCTTTAGATTTGGGACCCAGTTAAAATGAAGGATCCAAATCTAATTATACAAGTTTATGCGCGGTACGATTATCCCCGTAGCCAAGCTATTCCCTTCCAACAACCCCTAGCTAGGCCTCAAGTGTTTCTGTGGATAAATTTTTTTTGATAGAAAATCTGGGAATTGTATTAAAATGGATCAGCCTTGTTCCAAAGGATCTCGACCCAAATCTGTTTCAATCATACATCACAGAGTTAAAGGAGGGTTATCAACCCAAACAAATTGGTAGTTCCAACCAGTCCCAGAGTGCCAACCATATGTGTATCTTATAGTATATGTCTTCCACGTAGACCTGGAAATCGAGTCGATTTGGGTGATTTTCGGGTTGGGGCCTACGGTTACGAGTCGGGTCATGTTGGGTTGGCTGATTTCTACAGGTCGGGTTACAGGTCGTTACGGGTTATGAGTGCTTTCAGAAACAATATCAAACTGCTTCATATTTTCTAAAAGAACACAAATTTTCACATATGTAAGACAATAGTTTACCTAACACATGTCAATTAACATATTCTCAAATCCTCCCATGCTAACTAAATGAAATACAAATTACGGAAATCGTCAAAAAACAATTACAAGAGTAATGCTACAACAAGAAACTCATGATATTTGATTATCTTTACACTCCACACATGTCATTCAAATCCCTGTGAATTTTTTAAACATCTCGCCAATTTATGAGTGATTTATCATTTTGTGAGTGATATATAAAATGGACGGAGTTTAACGGGTCGACCCGCTAATCCACCCAACCCGACCCAAAAAATCACGGGTTATCGAGGTCGGATATCATTTGAATTTCGGGTTATAAAAACTTCTATTTTTCGGACGAGTTCGGGTTGGATCAACTGACCGAGTTGTAATTTGCCAGGTCTACTTCTACTTCCACTTCCACTTCAACTTCAATTAATTTTTTTTTGTCATAGACAAAATGCCGCAATTAAATGCACCAAAAAACAAAAAACAAAAACAAAGGTGAGTTATAAGTTATTCGGGCCAGAAAAATACAGAATCAGCATCTATTATTACATAGTTGAAGTAGCTTTTCCAATTGATTATTAGATAATCCGTATTACACAAGTTAATTAATCAATAGACCAAACAACGGGGAAAAAAGTAATCAATGGAGATTCACTCATTAGCACGCAACAAGATTTGATTATAGCCCTCCTCTAAAATAAAATAAAATAAAATAAAATAAAAACCCACCACGCACCTTCTCCCTCGGCGCAAGGCAAAGGAATTGAAAGTAACCATTATATCTCCCCCTAATCCAAACCAAAAACATTTTGATTATTTCTTCAAATTATCAATTAAAAGCTGTGAAGCCTGTGACCAATCTCATGCGTCCAAAAGCGACAAGTTGACTTTCTATTACTTACAACACCAACTCACAGGAAGCTAGAGAGAGAGAGAGAGAGAGAGAGAGAGAGAGAGAGAGAGAGAGAGAGAGAGAGAGAGAGAGAGAGCGGTTTTAATTTTCTTTTCCCCCAACTGGGAACCAACCAATCAAGCCATGGCTGACCAAAACCCAGCCCATATCAAAACCCCTCCCTCCCCCTCCCCCCCTCTCCCTCTCCCTCCTTTCATTCTCCAAGCCTCTCAAATTCCCCTCCGTCCGGCGATGAATCCCGCCAACAACAGCACTGCCACCGACGGCGGATTCCTCGGGTCCCAGAACATCGGCGGGTTCGGGTACGGAATCGGGGTCTCCATCGGCATCCTCCTCCTAATCACCACCATCACTCTCGCCTCCTACTTCTGCACCCGCAACAACAACAACCAGCACGCCTCCTCCTCTGCCGCCGCCGCTTCCCCGCAGCGGAGGGAATCGGCGGAGCACGTGGCGATCGAGATCGGATTGGACAGGGCGACGCTCAAGAGCTACCCGAAGCTGCTATACGCGGAAGCCAAGCGGCAGAAGAAGGACACCACGGCGTCGTGTTGCTCCATCTGCCTGGCGGATTACAAGAACACCGACGTACTCCGCCTTCTGCCCGACTGCGGCCACCTCTTCCACCTCAAGTGCGTCGATCCCTGGCTCCTCAAGCACCCCACGTGTCCCGTCTGCAGGACCTCGCCGCTGCCGTCTCCTCTCTCCACGCCGCTCGCCGAGGTCGTCCCGCTTGCCAGCAGGCCGCGCGGATAGATAGAGTTAGTTGCGCTTCGGATTAATGACGTAATTAATTTAATTAATTGCTCCCATTCGAATTTGTTCGACTCTCCTCGATCTTTTTTCCTTGTAAGATAGAATATATTAATTTCTTCCCAAAAGGAAGAAGCATTTTATGTTACTACATACCACATTACACGGTAATATTCGGGACATAAATGTAAAATGTAGGTTAGGGTTAATTAAGGGAATTACTTTCATGCTAATTACTGATCATTTGGTTCCATTTTTCTTTTCTTAACGAAACTGATTTGCTTGCTGGGTTTTCGATATTGATATTTAATGAGCTAGCATGGTTTGAATCTCATCCTCATCATTGAAGAGAATTATCTTTTTTTTTTCTTTTACGAATTTATATAGAATATTATTAGAAGAAAGTAAATGTTTAAATGTATATCTTTTAAGTACTTATTATTTGTTGTTATAATTGAAGTGATCATTAGTGGTTGGTACCTGGCTTCAATGAAAGATACAGTTGGTTAGAAAAATTCATAGCGTTAGCGAGGTTAGTTGTTGAAAAATATGAAAATGAGCTAACAAGCGGGAGGGGGGTCCAGCTGGAAGGAAGGATGGACTAATGAGAGATGTATCCGACTTGAGAATTAATAGTAGTGATGAATAGAGCAGAGCGCCTCCTAGTGTCAATACGAAGTAGATCATACATAACAGCTATAATATTGACAATATTGCTTGGTTAGAACAACCTGGAGCTTATTGAGAGCCGGCGGGCCATGTCCACTATTAGCTGTAGTCTAAATATAGCTAGCCCTTTCTCCATTATTGAGTGAGAATCTACTACCACGAATTTAGCTATTGCAACTTTTGCACATTTGGCAGCACAAGTCTTTGTGTTCACACCGATATGGTAGAGAGTGATATAAGATTTAAATTATCATTCTCTCGATGACGGTGATTATTGGGATCAACAAGTTTATGATATGTTGTATCAAATTTGTTTTAATCAAGTGGTTGTGTGTTTGAATCTTCACGATCCTCAATATTAACAGTTGATATAAGCACAAGGTATGAGAGAAAAGATCTACTGACAATGGGGTGCTTAGTCAAATGACAAACTCTCTCTTAGCCCTTAGGTCTAGATGTACAAATCGAATGGTTAAAACAAGGAAATGACTACTTATTACTTAATTAGTGATACAGATAACTATAGTATTAAGAAAATTAGTGTGATAAACCAGTTAGTTCCAACAACCCGAGTTATTGGGAGAAGGTTATTATGCATCTTATACCACTCTCTTACACGCCTCTCAAATGAAAGCCAACCAATGGGCTTGAAGTTTGCACAGGCGATCACCATACCTTGTGCTTTAATCAACTGTTAATATTGGGGGTCGTGGAGATTCGAACACACGACCACTTAGCGAAACCACCTCAGATACAATGTCATAATTTAGTTGGTCCTATAACTCGAGTTATTAGGAGAAAGTTATTATGGATCTTATACCATTCTCTTACAATTTTTATTCATGATTTTATTTTATTTTCATTTTTTGTTTTCCCTCTTTCACAAAACACTTCAAGCGTTACGCAACATTTTTTTTAATGAATTGGTGGTATTATATTTCATAAAAAACCCAATACTGCTCAGCAACACCCCTCCAAACTAAGACCTGAACAATCCGAAAAAAACTCAATTTGGCCTAACAGTATATACTACTGTTCACAAGACTTGAATTGGACTATCTGGAAGGGGTGACTTAAATCCGTCTGTCGTGTTCGTTCTTGCTTTGTTATTCCTCAGATTTACCGATTCATAGAAACAGTTGTGACAAGTGCTATTAGAGCATTGATTGGAGATCAAGCTAGGGTTTCAAGATTGAAGAATGACTTCAGTGAACATGAAGATCTAAAAGTTCACAAGGAGAACAGTTTCCGTACATGGTAGATCAAGATGCAGGCTTTATTGAAATAGCAATGGTCGTTGCGGACGCTGTTTGGTAAACAGAAGAAGATAGGAGTCAATGACTATGAGTGTAATTGATGTGAGTCCCGCCGCTGGGAACAAACCCGGCCTTGAAGGGCCATTCACCGATCGGGGAAATGGAAGGAGCGAACTGGGAATCTGTCCAGGGATTTCCCCCCGGAGAGGACATCAAAATACCTAATCGGGTATTTAAACCGGGTTTTGGGGTCTAGTCGAGTTTGGCCTTCCTTTTAGGTTTAGATTTTTGTTCCTTTTTGGGTTTTGTTTATTTTATTTGCCCTGGGCTATATAAAGGGTTGTAAACACGAATTATACAGATGAGGTTTTGATGAATAAGAATTTTACACAGAGGTGTGTTTTTCCCATTGAGCATGATTGCTTATGGTTTATTGTTTTAGCTATTGGTGAATTCCATAGCTAGGGTAAGATCCTTGTTTGAGTTATTCTGTCGAGGATTCTCGAAGAGCTTGGCAAGACGCTTATCAATCAACAAATCACACTTGATTGTGGCGAGTATCTAACCCCACGTATCCTTTACTTTTCGAGTTGTTGAGCGAAAAACAAGAAAACTCTTAAAAGATCGAGGTTGCGCAACTTTGACAGAAGAATCTAAGCTTTGCGATCTCGGGATCTAAACAAGTGGTATCAGAGCTTGGTTCAAATCCGTGGTCAGGATAAGAAGATTACAAGCTTTTTGCAAGCTCCCGGCAACGGCAGAGGAATTAGGGCAAGGCATACCCACAAGTTTCTGATATGTTGTATCAAATTTTCTTTAACCAAGTGATTGGGTGTTCGAATTTTCATGACTCTCAATATTCATAGTTGATATAAACACAAGGTATGAGAGGAAAAATCTACTGACTAGGGGGTACTTAGTCAAATGACAAACTCTCTCTTAGCCTTTAAGTCTAGATGTACAAATCTAATGGTTAAAACAAGGAAATGACTACTTAATTAGTGATAAAGATAACTATAGTATTAAGAAAATTAGTGTCATAAACAAGTTGGTTCTAATAACTCGAGTTAATGGGAGAAATTTATTATGGATTTTATACCACTCTCTTACACATCCCTCAAACGAAAGCCAAACCATGGGCTTGAAGTTTTCAAATGCGATCACCATAACTTGTGCTTAAATTAATTGTTAATATTGCGGGTCGTGGAGATTCGAACACACCATCACTTAGTTCTACCATTCTCCTACAGTTTTTATTCATGATTTTATTTTATTCTTATTTTTAGTTTTCCCTCTTTCACAAAACTCTTCAAGCGTTCCCCAACCTCTTTTTTGTTATGAATTAGTGATATTATATTTTGAAACACCCTAGTCCGGCTGGACACTACTTTTATAAAAAATACCCTTGATAAACCGTGAAATAAAATAAGACCTAAAAATACTTAGAAAAATTGCGAAAACATTTCATAAATACTTTAATAAATACTGAAACCAATTTTCATTACTTAAACTCGAAGTCCTAACACTTGGGCACACTCAAAATTTAAAGTCTCAACCCGATCTCCAGTCTGTACTCATAATCATAAAGAATAATAACTAAGAGTCTCTATTGCTTCCGTTAGTGAAAACTTTGACTAGACATCCTCCGTGACGCTTGTACTATGCTCCTCTAGCTGGCTTCTCTCAAAGTCGTTGTTCTCTACCTAGTGAGTGACTTGGGATCAGCCTACGCCCTTACATTAAAAATCTCTAATACTAGAATAATTTACTTAAGGCTCTTAACTTAAACTAGTGGAAGTTGTTTGTACTTCCACTCTTAAAAATCTTACTCTTAAAGCTGTATGGGATCTACTGTTACTCTCCCCTCTTAAAGCACAAATCTCACTTAAATACTTGACTGACACGGGGATGCCTCACTAGCTAGTCCGGTTGCCCAACTCATATGTATGAGAAGTCATCCAGACTTTTTTTAAGCTTAAACTTAGTTAGGGGAGTCGTAACGATTCATACCTCTAACATCCTAAACTTATTGTGGTGGCTCTTCACCATGATTCTCAAGACCATAACTGCTGCTCATCTCAAAAATCAAAATTGGCAACGAACTGACGCTAGTGACTAAAAACTCTTAAAATGATTTCACCTTCTTGAAGGTGAAGTACTTCTTAAAAAGAAACTTGTTTATTAAACTTTAACTATCACTCATAAATGTAAAGCTTTAAAGTAAATTAGAACTCATACATATTCACTTCAAACAAAGCTCAAATCATTCACAATCACCATCATAAGCACAATCAACCATGACAATCACTTCATTAAAATAGTTAAAGCTTGTAATACTTGGAAAAAAATACTTAAGGCGTAGAATTTACCCCCTTTACACTCACCTGACTATATAGTTAAAGATTCTACTTTGTAGATCCATCGGCTTCATGAACTAGGTACTCCAAAAGATGTCATGGAACATGTTAGCATTTTATCGACATTGCTCCCCCATCAACTCCATTCGTCTCAGTCGTCAAAAATCAACCACAGCAAATTCCCCAAGTCATGTTAAAGCACCTCCCATATACATACATATTTACTTAAACATTTCACTTGTTATTCCTCTACGAATTAGCTAAATGCGAGTAGTTTAGGTAACTTACCCAAAACCATTCTCCTTCAATTTCCGCTTCCTCATACCGCATCCCCAAAGATGGCCGCCGCATACGTGATACTTCTTAGGTGTGGTTGTCGATAACAATTGTGATTTCTCGGAGGAATTTATGGAGAGGGGACACGTTTTTGATTTGGCCCTGGGCTGGCAAAACTTCTCGTCTTCAAATTGATCCTCTCCCCTGTTCGTTTATGAGAAGGGAAATGATTCCCTTAAATTTTTGTGTCCCATCCATAAATTGTGCAACCTCGTCCCCGGAGTGGCAGTCCTTCTCCTGCTTGCTTAAGTAGCCAGGTCTCATAGCAGAGAGCGCGCAAATTGGCTCCTGCTCTGCTTGCCTACCTCCTCCTTGCTTAAGTAGGAAAGTCTCATAATAGAGTAGAGAACAACGAGAATCAGAGAGAACAGTTGCATGAGGAGAG